AATGTCCCTGGTATAAGGTTAAATTTTTTTGCTATATATATAACTTGTTGTTAAAGGTTTTTTTATTCTTTATATTTATACACCAAACTTATATTATTGTTAAGCTTGCTAAGTGCTATACTGTGACATCTAATACATGGTTTATAGATCTACTTAGGAAAAGCTACGATGGTCTAAATGCAAGAACAGATGTGGTACTTAAAAATAAATAACAAACGTTACTTTCTTTTTATCTTGTCAAACATTTCTTGTTCATGCTTAACTGTGTTGGTCAACATTGTCCTCGGTCATTTTCTTTGGCATTTCTAGGTATTTTTTTATGTGGTTGGTGTTGTTAAGAATTCCTTTAGGCTTGTCCTTATGGTTTTTTTAGCTTCATGAGCCATATAAAGATGTGGAAATGTTGAAGACCTTGCCTTTCCTTTTTCTTAATGGAAATGACCAATGACATGGGTAACAATGCATTCTGGGAGAACTGGCCATGATGTTGCAACTTACCTAACATACCTATTGAATATTTCACAAATACTATATTTATTTTGCAATAATTTGTTTGTATACCAAAAATCTAAATGATCATGCATATACATTTCATTATTTGTAAGACTTTTTAAACTAGTCTAAAATAGTTCTTATCCAAGTTGCATTCTTTTACACTTTAATGTCAAAGCCCACTTTTTAAATTCTAAACTACAGCAACATTTAGTTTTTTATATATCATTTTAAAGTTAGAATATGTTTTGCACACAAACAAAGAAAAGGGATAGAAATAGCTATCAATTAAATTCTTTTCTTATACATTTTTCTCTATTACAAGTTATCTTAAATAGGATGATAACATTCCCAGAATACCTACTGTTTCAAGAATGAAGACTGCTAAGAAACAAGAGGGAATCCTCAATAACTGTATCACTTGAAATTATTTAATGTTAATCTATGGGACTGTCCCTTGTGTGCAAATTTGTTTAAGAGGACCCAGACCAAGAAAAATAAAATTCGAGCACATATGGTACTGGTACTGTACGGCATTATTTAAAGCATGCTATCAATTTTAAGAGTACAAGTACCAGTATGACAACGGCCGATTTTCAAGAAGACTGTTGCAAAATGTACTTGTGATGAACTTTGAAACCAACTTCAATTGAAATACAATGTTAAAATGATATCATTAAAATTTGAACACCAAAAGCATGGTATCAGTACTGCATTTGATTGTTTTCATTTCTATTTGCAGTGTACTTTTTGTAAGTTTGTACTAAGCTCGGGTTATAAAGTGTAACAACAAATTAGAGAACAATAACATAGTCAAAACTACCATACCAGTATAGAAAAGAAGTATTAAATTCAAATTACTAGTATCCCAGATCCTGTTTTATGAACAATATAATTACAAGGAATTAGAGCTATAAGACACAAAACGAGTTGTGATATAACAATGCCTCTGTTCCTATATTGTACTGACAACTGATGGATATAAAAACCAAGGGAGCCAAGTGTGCTTCATTAGTGTTATTCCAAATTAATACCACCACACCTCTCACACATTCTACATATTATCATCTAAAGTTTCCCTTACTCGACTGTTTGCAGTTGTTATTGTGATTTTTCATTCAGAAGCACTAAAATTTCTCAAAGGGAGACCTTTTAACATATAGGAATGGTTCAGACTCTTAGGAGTTGCATCTGCAACATGCAAACCTACCTGTTTGTTCCTAAGTGAAAGGAATGGTTTTGATATTGTAAAAGCATGCACCTACCTGTTTTTACTTTGTGAAAACTTGACCTTTTGAAAATGTTCCTTATCCTATATGTGGAAGCAGCTTTAACAATAGACAAGCTTATTTGAATTCCTGACGTTCTGATAAAGATTTAAATATTGTCTTTGTTAGAAAGTTGAGAATTGACTTTATCTCATACACTTTTGAGGTGGTTCCACAGGAACTCCTTGTGTGGTTTCAATTTCTTTAAGCATGTAGGTTACGAGTTTTAAGCTCGTGTTAGTATGGTTCCTATCATTGGGCGTACAGCTAAATCCTCTGCGGTACCTACCAATGGACGCAGGGGTTGCGGATTTGAACATTTCAAGCTGCCCATGGTGCTGAGATTTGTAAGTGTATAATCACCTTATCCTGGGAAGCACAAATCCTTGCACGGTTCCTACTATTGGGTGTTAAGGTCATGGGTTTCAGCATTTTAATCTGCCCGTGGTGCTCAGATTATTATAATCACCCATTCAGGGAAGCACAAATCCCACATGGTTCCATCTATTATTGAGCATACAGGTCACAGGTTTAAGCAAACACAATGCCTGTGGTATTCTATATAACTGAGTAAGGAGAGTACAAAATCCAAGTCAGTTGCTACTACTGCACATCTTTGTCGCATGTTACAGCATTAATTATAAGCTACCTGTGATGTTAAGATTGCTATACACTCATACAATCACCCAATCAAGGGGAACACAAAATACTGTATAATTTGATCATTCACTAAATATCGGTGACTATTTTCTTTAGTGTGCTAGATTTATCTCTAACATATTTCAGTCGATTTTTTAAACTCCTTTTTCGACTGCATTCAATTCATTATCGTTCAAAAATGTCCAAAAGGACTCTTATCAACAATGTCAAGTCATTTGCGAATAAAATTTTAAATGACATTGGACATTTTAATCAAAATCTTTGTGTTATAGAGCCAAATCTATGTGATGGCAACTGCTTTTTCTGAGTATTTTGTCTAGAAATCTCTGAGATCCAATGTGTGTGAAGGTCTAACACAAAATATTCTCTCTTTAGATCATGAAGCGCTACACTCAGAAGTTCTGTATTTCTTAGACATTTCCATTCAGTCTGAGGAGGGCAATAACAATTGTGCTTTAGTTCACCATCTTATTGACATGTAGATGAAAAGATGAATCGGTACCAAAGATACCAAGAACACCATGGAGTTTGGGCCAATGACATGATGGTACAAACTATTGTGTGGTTTTTGGCTTATTTCTCGAGAGAATTCAATTGAGTCCCTGTTCACTATTTTTTTTTTTGTTTCCCATAGTCCTTGCGGACCGTTGAGCCGATGGCAGATCTTGCTCTGCCATCGTTTCTAAAGCTGTTTCTTACATCAAGGATGCAACCCACTTGACAGCCTTCCCTCTATGAAAGGACGAGCATGTTTGGTGGGACTGAGATTCGAACCCGCGACCCTCAGATTGCGAGTCGAGCGCCTTATCCACCAGGCCACTATTATTAGCAGGCAATTGTTGGAGACTTCGGCATAATGCACAGGCAATCCTAAGATATGATCCTCATAAGCATATTCAATCACTTACTCCACGTGATAATCATCCACCAACTGTTGTGAGTCCAAGGAAACAGAAGCATCTGGCTAGACATCATACAACTTGCTCTTTGCCTGAAAAACAACCTAACCTTTATGAAAAGAATGGGGTTGTCACAGGTAATGATACTTGTTCACCACTTTTTGTGAGTTCGAGAAAATGGAAGCAAACGGCGGAGCAGTGTACAACTCGCCCTCGACTACAAAGCATCCACATCTTGATGAGAAGAATGAAAATACATGCAGGGGTTGTAGCAAAACTGACTTCAAATATGTCTTAAACATCTGAAAAATGACGTAAATTGCAAGTTGTATTATGATGTTGAAAAAACATTGTTACAATAATTTCAAAGATGGAATCAAAAATGGCCCAGTGTACTGTTGCAACAGGACTTTCTTTGAATCTAGTGTCAAACACGTTGACTGTCAAAAATTGAGGACAAGTTTGGGCAATCTTTTTGAACAGTTTATTCATGATAACTTCCTTTAATCCTGTAGACTCCCAGTGGAGCATAGGGCCGGAACAACACCTCGCCAACGGACTCTGTTCTGGGCTGCTCTCCTCAGCTGGGTCCACGCCATTCTGGCAGCCTTTGCTTCACTCCTGACCGATCTCCTCCACGTCTGTTTTGGCCTCCCAGCTTTTCTTTTCCCTTGTGGGTTCCAGTCCAAGGCCTGCCTTGTAACGTTGTCGACTGGTTTTCGCAGTGTGTGTCCAATCCAGCCCCATTTTCTTTTCCTGATGTCTTGGCTGACTGGGTTCTGGTTGGTCCTTTTCC